AAAAAACCCAAAAGAACAAACCAAAAAAACCTCCTTAATAACACTGTAATGTATATCAAAAATTTGTTATAGATTTTAGGTGTTCTTATCATACACAGATACAAGGTAACTAGGATAATGAATATTAATCTGTTTGATTGAAACAATAATTTCAATATGCATATATGTCAGAATATCATGTTGTATACATTAAATATATAATAAAATATAAATAAATTTTTAAAAACAGCAAGCCAAGCTTGAGGTTTCAGGGCTGCTAGGCATTTCATTTTCATTTTTTAAGCATATAAAATCCACCATTTAAAGGATAACCTAAGTAAACATGGCTATATTTACAAAGCAGAACTCTGGAGAATAGAGTTATACAATATAATGATTTTCACATTTTCTGAAGTTAGAAAATCTTCTAAATGTTTACAAATAATCACAAACCTCAGCTCTGCACGCATTACAGGCAAATTGTTATCTATAGCTGCTACTAGAAATGCATCAATGCTCACTTGGGTTCCACAGTGTTTTAAAATTTAGTTAACCAAGATAATGGTAATACTAGTACTATATGATTCACTGTTCCTATTTTCTTCTATGTATCATACAGATGACTATCTCTTTCATTCCTATTTCAACAGATCATTGTGTAAATTAATTTATCCCATCTCCTGTTTTTATTTTCTCCATAATACAATCAAAAATCAGAACAGAATGAAAAACACATTTTTAGATTGATAAGGAAATTGAAGGAATGCTTATCTGATTGCGTGAATAATGTATCTTACACATACATACTCATGATGGATTAAGTTGAAAAACATAATTCTCTATTCCCTCTATCCCTTTTCTATTTGACTTTCAGAAAAATATAAGTAACAGAATACGGAAGGTACATAGTATATAGATGTTTCCCATTAAAACTAATGAAAAAATAAAAATCAGGATAGAAACTATAGCACTGATAATTATGAAAGGAAAACAAATCCTAACAATTAAATACAATTCATTATTAAGAAAAGTTATAGAACTCTGATGTCACTCAATATTCGAAGTTATTTCATAAAGTTTATCCAGAATCACATTTCCTTATTTTAAAATTGTATAGAAAATTTCTGGACTTCCATTTTTTGGAATAGGTGACAGAAAACTCGATTTGGAGGTAGTAATACAAGTATACCTCACTTTACTGAGCTTTGCTTTACTGCACTTCGTAAGTACTGTAAATTTTACAAATTTAAGGTTTGCGACACCACATTGAGAAAATCAGCACCATTTTTCCAACAGCACATGCTCATATGTCTGTCACATTTTGGTAATTCTTAACAATAATCTGTTACAGTGATCTGTGGTCTTTAATGTTAATATTGTGACTGTTTTGGGACATCACAAACTACTTCCACGTAAAAGCAAACACAAATAATATATTCTGTTTGTACCACCAATTTAGCCGTTCTTTCTTCCTCTCCTCAGGCCTCCCTAGTTTCAGACGCAACAATTTAATAACCCTGCAATAGTCTCTAAGTGTTCAAGTGAAAGGAAGAGTTGCATGACTCTCACTAATCGAAAGTTAGAAATGAGTAAGCTTACTGAAGAAGGCAGGTCCAAAGCTGAGACAGGCTGAAAGCTAGGCCTCTTGCACCAGTTAGCCAAGTTGTGAATGTAAAGGAAAAGTTCTTGAAGGAAATCGAAAGTGTTACTCCAGTGAACACATGAATGATGAGAATGCCAAGCAGACTTGTTGCTGACAGGAAGAAAGTTTTGTGGTCTTGACAGAAGATCAAACCAGCTATGACATTCCCTTAACCCAAGATCTAATTCAGAGAAAGGTCCTAAAACTCTCTTTAATTCAATGAAGTCTGTGAGAGGTGAGGTAGCTGAGAGGTGAGGAAGCTGCAAAAGAAAGTTTTAAGGTGGCAAAGGTTGGTCCATGAGATTTATGGAAAGAAACCATCCATTCTGCAGTATCCACAATATAAAAGTACAAGGTGAAGCACCAAGTGCTAATGTAGAAGCTTCAGCAAATTAATCAATAAGATCTAGCTAAGATCATTGACGAAGGTGGCTACTCTAAATAACACATTTCAATGTAGATGACACAGACTTCTACTGGAAGATGATGCCATCTAGAAATTTCATACAATGCATGGCTTCAAATCCTCAAAGGACAGACTGACTCGTTAGGGACTAATGCAGCTGGTGACTTGAAGTTGAAGCCAATGGTCACTGACCACTCCAAATAACCTAGAGCCCTTAAGAATTATGCTAAATCTATACTGCTTTTGTGTTCTATAAGTGAAAATAAAGGCAGGATGACCGCACACCTACTTACAATATATTTTAGTTATTATTTTAAGCCCACTTTTGAGACACACTGCTCAGAAAATAAAGGATTTTAAAATATTACTGCTCATTGACAAATACAACCGGTCACCTAAGAGCTCTCATGGAAATATATAAGGAGATTAAGGTTGTTTTTATGCCCGCTAACACAACATCCATTCTGCAGCCCATGAATCAAGAAGTAATTCTGATTCTCATGTCTTTTTTTTTCCATTTGGTACCGATAGGGTCTCACCCTGCGGCGCAGGGTGGTCTTGAACTCCAAGCCTCAAGTAAGCCTCCTGCCTCAGCCTCTCAGTGTTGGTATTATAGATGCATGGCCTCAAGTATTATTTAAGAAATAATTATTAAGAAATACATTATGTGGCTGGTGTAGGTGTTCATGCTGTAATCCCAGCACTTTGGAAGGCCGAGGCAGGCGGGTCACTTGAGGTCAGGAGTTCAAGACCAGCCTGGAAAACATAGGCAAACCCCGTCTCTTACAAAAAAAAATAGAAAAATTAGCTGGGCATGGTGGCATGCCTAGAGTCCCAGCTATTGGGAGGCTGAGGCAGGAGAATTGCTTGAACATGGGAGCTGGAGGTTGCAGTGAGCTGAGATCACGCCACTGCACTCCAGTCTAGGTGACAGAGTGAGACTCCATCTCAAAAAAACAAAAGAAAAGAAAAGAAATACATTACATAAGGCTAGTATAATAGCCACCATACACAGTGATTCCTCTGATGGATCTGGGCAAAGTAAATTAAAAACCTTCTAGAAAGGATTCATTATTCTAGATGCCATTAAGAACCTTAGTGGTTCATGGGAGGAGATAAATATGCCAATATTAACAGGAGTTAGGAGTAAGTTGATTCCAACCTTTAGGGATGACCTGGAGGAATTCAAGACTGCAGTGAAGAAGGAACTACAGATGTGATAGAAACAGCAAAAGAACTGGAATTAGAAGTAGAGCCTGAAGATGTGACTGAATTGCTGCAATCCTATGATCCAACTTGAATGGATGAACAGTTGCTTCTTATGGATGAGCACAGAAAAGTGGTTTCTTGAGATAGAAATTACTCCTGGTGAAGATGCTGTGATCATTGTTGAGATGACAACAAAGAATTTAGGATATTCCATAAACTTAGGTGATACGGTAGCTACAAGCTTTGAGAGGACTGACTCCAATTCTGAAAGAAGTTCTATTGTAGGTAAAATGCTATCAAATTATCATTGCATGCTATGCAGAAATCTTTCATTAAAAAAGAGTCAATCAATGTAAACTTGTCATCTTATTTTAAGATATTGCCACAGTTATCCCAACCTTCAGCAACTACAATCCCAGTAGCCATCAACATCTCTATCAGCAAAAAGACTGACTCTTGAAGGCTCAGATGATTAACATTTTTAGCAATAAGGTATTCTTTAGGGTGCAGTGGTTCACGCCTGTAATCCCAGCACTTTGGGAGGCCGAGGCGGGCAGATCATGAGGTCAGGAAATCGAGACCATCCTGGCTAACACGGTGAAACCCCGTTTCTACTAAAAATACAAAAAATTAGCCAGGCGTGGTGGCAGGCGTCTGTAGTCCCAGCTACTCGGGAGGCTGAGGCAGAATGGTGGCGTGAACCCGGGAGGCAGAGCTTGCAGTGAGCAGAGATGGCGCCACTGCACTCCAGCCTGGGTGACAGAGCGAGACTCCGTCTCCCCCCCCAAAAAAAAAAAGGATTATTTAATTAAGGTATATACCTTGTTTTTTTTAAAACATAATACTATTGCACAGTTATATGCAATGGAAAACTTTAAAAAAAAACTGTATGGCTAGGCTTATTATGATATTTGCTTTATTGCAATAGTCTGGAACTGAACCTACGGTTTATAGTATACTTTGAAATATAAATCTCTGTTGAATCTTTAATAAGATGAATGTAAAGCAGGAATTTTAAAGAATGTAGCTAAATGTCTTCTATATCTTTGTTACTCAAAGCACAGCCCACAGACCAAGTAGCATCAGCGTCAGTTGCAAGCTTGTTAGAAATTCACAAGCCCCACCCCAGACCTCCTGACCAGATCCTCAAGTGATGTGGTAGTCACATGTTAAGTAGCAAGGTTCTAGACCAGTGTCAAATAGTTCACCAAATCACAGAGCTATTTTTCTGTGGCAAAAACATCCAACACCATAGATTGCCGTGTAGCACCAACAATAACACAGGCTCAGGTCATGTCTGAGATCATATTATAAACCCTGGCTATACCTCTTATTGTGTGATGTTAGACATGTTACATAATCACATGCCTTAGTTTCATCATGTGTACAATGGAGGTGAATAGGTGTATCTCATAAGAATAATGTAAAAGTTTATATATTACATGGAAATTCTTAGAATTAGTACCTGGCACACTATAGGTAATCAGAAAATGTTCACTATTGTCCTTATTTTTGGTATCAAGTTCAATTGCTATTAAGACAGTGAATACTTGGAAAGAACAAAGAAGGAATTCATGACAAATTAAAACTGAAATTACACCCAAATTATGCCAGGTAAAAATATTTAAACCAAAATATTTTGATAAATATTAGAAATAGGTAAAAAGCATTAACGCACAAGCAGAATAAATTTTAAGCATTACAATGGCTCCATTGTTTTACTGTGCATTTATACAGTATATTAAATAGCATACTTTATCTTACCAGTCGTTTGCTATAAAGTAATGCTGTGCTGCTGCCACTGGAAACTGCCCATTTAGAAAAATGCATGACATGCTCCAATTGTTTAGAAAGTCCAGCCACTTCCTGTTGTTGTTGCATAAGTTTCATGCGATGGTCCTTTGCAAGGCTCTGAAAACAAGAAAATAATTTCAAAATTAGTATCAGCACGTAATATAGACTTTAATGGTCATTTACAGGTAAACAAATTAGAATAACTACAATCTCTAAGTACTCAATTTACTGAAACTAAAAATACTCTTAGTGTTTTCCCTATTAGTACAAAGGATCATTTTCACTATAGCAAAAAACTGCATCCCAAATGTGGCCCCTCAGCCCTCAAGACCCTGGATCAGGGGCCTTACGTATTCTGGGAGTTAACTCTGTTCGTTCATCTTACAATACATAAAAAAGGATAGATTAGCTATAATACAGTAAAAGCCTGTGAAATTCAACATTCACAAATAAGACAGATGTACTATCCAGCAAACCTGTAAAGTAACTCAATCACGTAATTTACTCAATCATATGATTTCACCTTTTAGGGATTCTACTTCACAGTTGCAATTGCAAGTAGTTTGTGCAAAACAGAGTCATGCTGTGTTGTAGATGACACTTATCCTTTGTATGTGGTAATTTTTTTAAAAGGCATCACATTATTTCTGTCTATTGAGAATTAACATGGGAGCCAACAGATGCACGATTGTGCCAATGCACTTTAAGAAAAGCTACATAAAATAATACAGATTTCTCTAAGGGAAGTATGTATGTACTTTCCTTAGAGAAGGCAGATAATCAAAAGTAGAGCACACTGAACTTGGGTATTTTAAAGGTTCCTATCCAAAAACCTCATCCTAGATCTAGCAAGGAAAAAGGAGAACAGGACTTTCTACTGTCTCAGATAAATTAGAAAAGTTTAAAACTAAAATTGCTGTACTACAACATGGACTTACATTCTCAATAAAAAGTGAACCCAGATCCTGGCCCTAGTCAGTTCCAGATTTGGAAAATACACTTGAGCTACACTGAGTTAAGGGGGAAATTGCAGTTGTCTGTCTGAGGGACTGGTAACGGCCAATGACTCTGCCATATGTAATTTAAGTTCAGAGAGACAGTAATTTGCCTAGTAGGCTATTTTTGACCTCTAAAAATTTATTAAGTGTTTCTTTGGAAACATTCTAGTAGGAATAGAAATTGTTTACTTTGAAGAGGTTGAGAATTAAGAATCAGAAGCCCTGGTTTTTTGGCCTTCTATCCTAAATATCTATTTCAGCCAATTTCTTATGAGTCTTAACAGATAAAAGGGGTTATGTTTATTTGCCTTTAAAAGGGACTCCAACCAGCCTGGGCAACATAGCGAGACCGTATCTTTACAAAAAAAAAAAAAAATTAGCCAGGAGTGGCAGCACATGCCTTGTAGTCCCAGCTTCTCAGGAGGCTCAGTCAGGAGGATTGCTTGTAGTCCCAGTTTCCCAGGAGTTTGAGGCTACGGTGAGCCAAGGCCATACCACTACACTCGAGCCTAGATGACAAACTGAGACCTTGTCTTTAAAAAGTAAAATAAGAAAATTCAGTAGAGTGAGACTTCATCTCTACAAAAATAAAAAATTAGTCAGGTGTGGTTGCACAGCTACTCAGGAGGCTAAGGTGGGAAGATTGCTCAAGCTCGGGAGGTCAATGCTATAGTGAAAACACCACTGCATTCAAGCTTGGAGAACAAAGTAAAACACTGTCTCAAAAAAAAAAGCCGGGTGGGGGAGGTGGGGTAGTTCATACCTGTAATGTCAGTACTTTGGAAGGCTGAGGCAGGCAGACTGCCTGAGCCCAGGAGTTTGAGACCAGCCTGAGCCAACGTGTCAAAACCCCCTCTCTCAAAAAAAAAAAATTAGCCAGGCATGGTGGCATACACTTGTAGTCCTAATTACTTGAGAGGCTGTGATGAGAGGATCACCTGAGCCCAGGAGGTGGAGGCTGTGGTGAGCCGTGATTCATGCTATTGCACTTCCATCTGGGCAACAGAGCGAGACCGTGTCTCAAAAAAAAATTATTTTTTAAGAATGAACCTGGTCATCAGTAGATATATACTGACCAGGTTCATTCTTACATATTTGCAAGTCTGGTCATTTTCTTTGTAAAGCTCTTCAAGTGATTCTGATGTACACAGTCAAGTTTGAAAACAGAGACATAGTAATGTATGCACTAGTAGTATCTGGGAAAGCAAATCAAAGTGATATTTGATTTTAAGCAGTTTTAGAAACTTAAATTTCTACTTAAAAAAAATTTTTTTTTTTTTAAGTCACAGACCTTGAACAAATAGTTACTACAAATGGGGTCTGATTCTTCCTGCCCAGAATACTTCCTCACTAAATAACTACATTTCCAAAAGAATAGAGAATTATTTTAGTCTTTGTTTCCTGTACAGCTGGTAATACACAGGAATGACCATGCTTTCCCAGAAGGGATAGAACTTTCTGACAGAAACCTTATAATTTGGCAAACTATGACATAAAGAAGATTATCTAAATTATTTCTAGAAGTCTTATTTTTTCCTCAAATCTTCAAACATTAGGATTCTTTTATTTTTTCCTCATTTGCTTCTTTATTGTATCAATATGCTTTCTATGTCAACATACTAAAGGAATACCTAAAAACCATGCAATTAATATTATAGATTAATGTATCATGTAGGTGTTACAACTTTCTATTATTTGAACGAAAAACAACAAGTTTGGATCTTGACCTTCATGAGTTTTAAAAAGCTGAGGAAGATAGTAATGTTTTTCTTACCTGCAGTGAGAAACAACTAAGTGCCTTGGGCATATCTCCCCAAGTGCTGCTCTCGCAATTAGAATTATAAAATGTTGAGGGCAGGGCTAGCCGTACTCTTTCACCTAACTTCTCACAGGGTTGAATATATATACTTGAGAACTAAACTGAAGTGTATCTTTCTAGAAAATTTCGCTCCACTAAACCTCCTTAAGATGCAAAGTTGTCACTTCAGTTAATCTCAAAAATAACTCATCTGTTTAACATTCAGAGATCCTCCTACAAGCAAGGCATTATAATTTGTGCTATAAAGAAAACAATCAGTCGTCAGACATTCACAGTGTATTATAAAGTTTTAAATTGTCAGCTATAATACAAAATCCAGCAAAGGAAAACTTGGGAGTGGGGAAAAAAAGTATTGAATCATAAATGAAACAATTATATTAAAAGCACTATGATTTCTACTTCACAGTACTTTAGGAAATACTATGTTGAATCAATATACTATCCCATGGGCAGTCACTTACCTCTAACTGATGCAGTAGAGCTTTTCCTTTTTTATTTATTTCTACCATCAATGTAAATATAGCAACTTTAATATCCTGTTCCACCTGCTTTTGATTTTGATTTACTTCAATAATTCTGAAAATTAAAAGGGGGAAAAAACATAAGGCAGATTTTTTTGTATAATATTTAAAATTGATGTTTTAATGTCTACATTAGACCAAAATGTTTTCAGCCCTTAGAAGCTCTGCTATTTCTAAGTCCTTCACTTTAAATTGACTGTCTTGAAGATGAGACAGCAGAAATATAATTCTTCTGAAAGATATCACCACTTAATCTTAAAATTAAGTCTTGAATCTTAAAAATATATAGAGTTAGAAAAGAATGAGTACATTTTAAGAAAATACAGTTTGGAAAAATTATGATGACACCCAGGAAAATCAATGCTCTACCTAAAAGGATGGGGGATGGTGGTGGACTAAAAAGGATTTATAAACCATGATTCTGAACAAGTTCTACTATATTAATTGCAACCAAAAGCTAGAAAAGTGTACATGTGATACTCTTTTCTTAGTAATCTTAACTGCTACAGTATTCACACACCTAAGTAGAAAAAGACAAAAATACTAGTTTGCTACTTAACCCATTCTTTGCAAAATTAGCAGCCAAATAACCATGTTTTATCAACTACATACCTCTCTTGAGGTGGGAAATTAAAGAAAAAAAGAAAAATAAAATTAAAAAGAGAAAAGCAAGTTTGAAAAACAAGCTTTCCTGTATTAGGCTGACTCATCCCAGAGGCAGAAATAGGCACAGCCCAGACCCAGGAAAGTCTTGATAATATTATCTAAGAAACTAGGGCTCAAAGGAATGTGCTCTGAAGACTCTCCCAGCACTCCCTCAACATGGGGAGAAGAAAAAAACAAATTTTCTTTATTTTCCTTTCTCCTATGGTATGAGTAAACTTATGAGTTTATTGATTCCTGTTTTCTATAACTAGTAACTTTAAGTATTGTTTTATCTAAGCAGCTCAGCGAAGGTCATGAGACATGCCTGAGCGGGCCTGGATTGTAGCCATCCAGACACCATAGTGAAGGTTATGAGATAAGTCCGTGCAAGGCACTAGAGCAACCCTAGGTAACAGCCATCTAAGCCGCATAGCAAGAATCATATGTAAGTCTGAGTTATGAACCTGTCAAAGTATGATTAACTGCCTTTGTTCTGCTTCTGTACCTGAGCTTTTGTGCCACTATGCTTCACGCCACTGTAAGCTTGTTTCAAAGTAGCCCACCCTCTTTTAGAATTGTGTATAAAAGCCAAGTCCGGTCTTTGTTCTAGGCCCAGTCTTTGGCTGTTAATCCGCTGGGTCTGAGTACACTCAATAAAATCCTCCTGTTCTACCTACTGGTCTCTCCAGTCTCCTGATTCCCACAACACTCTTACAGAAAGAAAAACATACGGTACCACACCAGAATGTTATAGAAAATAACAGAGCATCTGCCAAACTTTGTGAGATTAAATTAAAAGTTTAATTTCTTCTGCAAGCTTCTCCCATAGTTACCCTCCAAAACTTCAAACTCGCAGAAACTTTATTTCCTGCTGGAAATTCTTCAAGATAATTGTTTGACATCAACATTACTACAGGATCAAGGGAACCAGATAAGCCTGAGAAGCAACCAATCTCAAAAAACTCATTTAAGTATTCATGATGGTAGAATAGGATGAATAAGGGAAAAACAGTGGCATGGGGGCAAATGCATAAAAATGAATATCAGTTACTCTAATAAATGTACCCTTTTATAATCAGATAGGTTATAAAGATATATAAGCAATTTGCACTTAACAAAGATTCTTTAATTTTTGCCTCAATTCAGAAATCAAAATTGTTACACACAATGTTATAATTTTGTAGAAGAAATAAAGCACAAATCACTTTACAAAAATAAAAGAACAAATTTGAAGAACACTATCTTAAGACTTACTATAAAAAGCTACGATGATCAAGATCATGAAAGTGAAGTACTAGCAATGAGAAAAACACAATGGAACAGAATAATAATCCCACAGAGAAACAGTTTTTTCAACAAATGATAGTGGGAGAAATTGACATCCATACATTAAAAAAATGTAAACTTTGACCATAACTCAAACCATATGCTCAGTGAAACAGTAAGAAAAAAGTCAAAGGGATAAATTTCATTAAGGGCAGATCTTTAATTTAAAATTAATTATTTTACAATTGCTACCTTTTGCCACTAGATGGTAGAAATGCCTATAATTATCTCTCTTCATTCATTCAATAAATATTCATTACAAATTTTCAATTACTCAGAATAAAAAAATTTTAAACCCACCAATTATTCTACTTGGCAAAATATACTATTCTGATTAGAATATGGTAAATAAAGGAAATAGTATTTCATTAACTATAGTTGTGTCAAAGAGAAAGGTAAAAAGAGGGCCGGGTATGGTGGCTCACACCTGTAATCCCAGCACTTTGGGAGAATGAGGTGGCAGATCACCTGAGGTCAGTAGTTCGAGACCAGGCTGGCCAACATGGTGAAACCCCATCTCTACTAAAGATACAAAAATTAGCTGGGCACAGTGGTGGGCACCTGTAATCCCAGCTACCTGGGAGGCTGAGGCAGGAAGATTGCTTGAACCCAGGAGGCAGAGGTTGCAGTGAACTGAGATCGCACCACTGCACTCCAGCTTGGGTGACAGAGTGAGACTCTGTCTCAAAAAAAAAAAAAAAAAAAGGAGGGGGGTAAAAACAAATGAGAGCTGATAACGAGAAAAACTAAAAGACATACAACATAATGCATAATAATAAATAGATACAATAATGATGCTGGGGCATCAAGAAATAGTAAAATTATGTTTAAAAATCTCTTTTAAGGAAATCAGGTAATACAGGGAATTCATTACCTTAAAAAATTTCCAAATGCTTCACCCCCAGTTGTGTTCCAAAATGATAGTAACAGATTGATGACTGTCTTAAAGGCTGACACAACTGATACATGGGAAAACATTTAAATTCTCTGTGAGGTCTCTTTTACTCTGGCTCATTCTAATGAACATTTCTTGACTTATGTAGGCAGTGACATTTCTTTTGTGTGTGAAACAACAGAAGAGGTCATGGGATTTCATAGGTGTATAAATTAAATGTCAGTATGTGCCCTACATGGGATTTAAAAAGGGGTTAGACAACACCTTCAGCTGCCCCTGCTCCACGGAGGTTAGTGGTTCTCCCCAGTCACTGATGTCTAAGACTTTGGACAGTTGATGATTTTCTTACCAGGACAAAAGGCATAATAAGTAATTGTTTAAGTAAGCATTTTATCAGGCAAGAAGTAAAAAGTGTGTGGAACAGTTTAACAATCCCTGTATCCTAGTGTCTTAAAATTTCCACCTGTTTGCAGTTTTAAAAAATCACAGCATAAGGCAGGCATCTCAAATTTCAGCAAACCTTAAAATAACAATTCAGGGTTCATTCAAGTGTTAAAATATTTTACAATACTGGCACAAAATGGTTGGTTTTGCATTTAAATCTTGGTATTTCTTTAAAATTGGAAAATAAGTGATAATAAGTTATCAATACCTATTAGATAAATGAGCTATCAAAATACTAAATGTAGTGTATTATCATATGAGTTTTGAAATTTTACAGCAGAAAAGAATGCTTTCCAACTAAGTTTCTGGGAAAGTCTTATCAACCATGTGTTATTGCTGTCATCTAATAACTTATTACTTAACTGTGAGTTAAGGAAAATGTTCTAAAAGTGAATATACTTCACAAATTATATAAAAATGATTATATAATACCATAAAATTACCTGTTTTGGATCTGATTTCCTGTGAATTTTATGTATTTTGTTTTTTCCATCAGTTTGGTGATTAGTGTATCTATGATCACTTTCTGATTCTGAAAAGCTTCTTCTATAAATTGATACCTGAAGAAATAAGCAAATTATTTCATATAAAAACATATAATGAGGAAAAGTCCAAGAATAAAAAGACTGATAAAAACATAAAATAGGATTATAAAGAATTTATATAACAATCTTTTAAAACATCAAATGTATCCCTAACAAAGCAAGTTTTCCCCACCTCTCAAATTATCCTTCAAGAAAGATTATGGACACGTAAATATTTTGAAAGTTTGAGAACCACGTGCATCCATCATTCAGTTTTATAAGCTTACAGAGTTCACTTTCACTTGGTGGACTTGGCAAAAAATAGTCAATGATATATAATCTGACTTATTAACTATATTGTAATGTCTACATTATGCAAGCCTGCTGAAAACAAACATTTCAAAAGACCATTTTTAAATAATAGGTAGTTATGTTCTAGGGGCCACAAAGAAAAATCGGGATAAATACAGAGAGAGAAGGGCAAAATTCTAGACGTTATGCCTTGTGATAAAACTTTAAGCAACAGTATAATAAGATATAGCACTTTAAAAAGTTTCCAATTTGAAAGTGAGGAAAGATCATTTACTTTGCCAGACTATGTTTGATAACTGAAGAGAAGTTCTAGAGAAGATAGAAAGGCAATGATATAGAAGATACATATCAAGAGTTTTATTTAAGTTTTCCTATAAAATGTACAAAATACAATATTACTAAATTAACATATTTTATATAATGTGATTTTAAATGTTTACATGTAATTAAATAGGGTTGCCAGTTAGAAAAAGGGGATACCCAGTTAATAATTACATTGGATTTCCTTTGTACATAATCATATCTGTGAATAATAACATTTCAAACACTTTCATAGGCAACTCAAGTTTTTTTTATCTTAGTAAACTTTTTCTTTACTACACTTATTTAATATAAGGTTACATGAAATGGTCAAAATGGTCACCCTTATGTTGTTCCTCATCTCAATGCAAAGACTTTCAATATTCCAATATTAAGTACGTTTTCTACTTTCCATAAATAATCTTTATCAGGCTTAGGAAATTCTTTTTTTATTTCTAGTTTGCTAAGATGTTAGGAATGTATATTTAATTTTTATGGAATGTTTCTACTGCTTCTATTGAGATAGGCATATACTTTTTCCTTTATTCTTTTAATATGACATGAAAGGTTTTAGCATCAATGATTTTGGCATGTTAAATGAATTCTGTATCCCCAAAATGAGGCCAAATTGGTTGTGATTACACTGTCCAAAAATGACAATACTACGAGATTTAAGGCAAGTTTTCCCCTCCTCTCAAATCATCTGTTTTCTACTTATTTTCCATTTCTTGGAATTTTCACATTCATTTCATGGGTGAAACTGGCCTGTAATTTTTCATTTCTATTCCTTGTCAGTTTTGGTGTAAAAGTTATGCTGGCTTCATATAGCAAGTTGGAAAGAATTCATTTTTTTTGCCACTCTCCGGACAAGTCTGTATAAGAAAGGGGCTTTTTTGTTTTTTGTTTTTTGTTTTTTTTTGAGACAGAGTCTCGCTCTGTCCCCCAGGCTGGAGTGCAGTGGCACGATCTCGGCTCACTGCAAGCTCCGTCTCCTGGGTTCAGGCCATTCTCCTGCCTCAGCCTCCCGAGTAGCTGGGACTATAGGCGCCCGCCACCGCACCCGGCTAATTTTTTGTATTTTTTTAGTAGAGACGGGGTTTCACCGTGGTCTCGATCTCCTGACCTTGTGATCCGCCCGCCTCGGCCTCCCAAAGTGCTGGGATTACAGGCGTGAGCCACCGCGCCCGGCCTTTGTTTTTTGAGACGGAGTCTCGCTCTGTAGCCCAGGCTGGAGTGCAGTGGCGCAATCTTGGCTCACTGCAAGCTCCGCCTCCCGGGTTCATTTGCCTGCCTCAGCCTCCCGAGTAGCTGGGACAACAGGCGCCCGCCACCACGCCTGGCTAATTTTTTGTATTTTTAGTAGAGACGGGGTTTCACCATGTTAGCCAGGATGGTCTCGATCTCCTGACCTTGTGATCTGCCCGCCTTGGCCTCCCAAAGTGCTGGGATTACAGGTGTGAGCCACCGTGCCAGGCCAAAAGGGGCTATTTTTACCTTAACTATGTGGTACATTTATTGGTGTCATTTGCATGTGTAATTTTCTTTGTGGGAAGGTTTTAAATTATGAATGAACATTAAAGGACTATTCTTTCTATTGTATTTAGCATAAGTTTTGGTAAAAACTTCATTTTCTAAGAGTTTTCCAATATCATGTAAAAATTTTCATTATAACATTTGAAATATGGAGTAATGCCACTTTCCTACTCCTGGTAGTGGTTATTTGGGCCTGCTCTCTCAATCACTCGTACAGAGAATTGTTGATTATTTAGTAGTCTTTTGAAAGACTGAATTTTTGGCTTTGACTATTTCTACACTTGTCTTTATTATGTTTCTTTTAAAACACACTTACTTTGGGTTTAATCTGCTACTTTTCCTAAACTGCAATAAATGTTTAGCGAAATGACTTTATCCTTAACATACAACATATGCATTTAATAATATAAACTGTCCTCCAAATATGGCTTCAGTTATTAAAAAGAAAAACCTCAAGGCTTGATTGACTGATATTTTCACTACTATTCAAATAAAAATGTTTTCTAATATCTACTGGAATTCCTTGTTGATGATTTAAATGTATTAAACTGCTTATTTTATAATAATTTCAAAGTTAAATTTCCAAGTATATAGAGATCATATATCTCCTTACACAGATTAATCAATTTTTTAGTTTGCCTCCTCATAGCCCTTTAACCCTTTAATAAATTAAGTGTGCATTTCCTAAAAACAAGGATTTTCTTATGTATTCATAGCAAAGTTAAAAAAAAAAAACTGACCTTGTTACAGTACTTTAACCTATAGACCATGCTTCTTACTTGTATCATTTGACTCAATAATGTCTTCTAAATACTTTTTTCCTTTAAACCAGAATTCCAGGATCATGTATCAGCAGACTTTAGTTATCACAAGAATTTCATTTCCAAATATATAGTATCTTTCAATCTTTCCAAAATTAAGACTTTAGCATATGGTCAGTTAAAAATATTTTATTGTAAGAATGTATATTTTGGGGTACAGTGTTCCATAATGTCCATAAGACGTTATGTTAATTGTGTTATTCAAACTTATTTATCTTTTTTTTTTTGAGATGGAGTTTTGCTTTTGTCACCTAGGCCAGGGTGCAATGGTGCCATCTCTGTTCGCTGCAACCTCCACCTCCCAGGTTCCAGCAATTATCTTGCCTAAGCCTCCCGAGTAGCTGGGATTACAGGTGTGAACCACCGTGCCCAGCCCTTATTTCTCTATCTTTACTGATTTTTTAGTCTGTTTGTTTTGTCAGTTATGTATGTGTGTATGTATTTATTTGTGCGAGCCACCATGCTTGGCCCTTATTTCTCTATCTTTACTGATTTTTTAGTCTGCTTATTGTGTTGTTTATTTACTTATTTATTTTTTAGAGATAGGTCTTGCTATGTTGCCCAGGCTGAACTCAAACTCCTGGACTTCAGCCATCCTCCCACCTCAGTTTCCTGAGTAGCTAGGTAGCTAGCACTTACAGGTACCTGCCACACTACTCGGCTTCGATTATTGCGTAAAGTGGTAAGATTTTCCACTGTGACTATGGAGTTTTCTATTAGTTTGAAGTTCTGTCATTTTTTTGTAAGTTTATAACCTGTATAAATTTACAACTCATATCTTTTAGATGAAGAGAGTCTTTCATCCTTACAAAGTGTCCCTCTTTATCTCAAATAATGGATTTTGTCTACTATGCCATTTTGCCTCTGGTTAGTATTTATATGGTGTCTTTTCCCATTAAGTCTTTCTCATAAAAAGAAAATAGCACATTTTTCTATTTTCCTTCTTATCCAGTCTGAAACCTGTCTTATAATTTGGAACATTTTGTCTGTTCACATTTAGTATAATTATAGTATATTTGTAGATCTACCAACTTACCAAGGCCTCATTATATTCCATCTGTTCTTTATTTCTTTTTCTCACTTTTTTGGCCTTTGTTTATACTGATTATTCCACATCCCCACAACTCTCCACACCTTGGTAATTATATGTACTTATTATTCTTTTAGTGACTACTCTAGACATTACAAAAACAGATATTTACATATCATCTAATATTTGCACTTTTTACCCTCTTCCTAGACTATGCACGGACCTTAGAACATAAATTCCATACCCTTTTAGCACATTTACTGCTATGTGATATACATATACACATACCACACCAAAAAGATACTGTTTCCTAAGTCAACATTCATTTAGATTTACTCATACCTATTATTTTAATTGCTCCATATTCCTTTCTGTATCTTCTATTATTTTTCTTCTGCTAAGAGGTACTTTAAGTGAGAGTTTATCAGGGATATGCTCTCCCAGTGTATTTTGCCTGAAACATTTTTCATCCACCTTCATATTTAAAGAATATGCTTACTGGGTACAGAATTTTAGATTTGAAAGTTACTTCATTTTTGCACTTTAAAAATATTACTTTCTTAATTATCCTGCTAGAGGTTTGTGAAACTTCTTAAATATAGGCTAAATGCCTTTCGTCAGCTTCTGAAAGTTCTCAGCCATTACATTCTGTCTTCAGATATTGCTTCCTTCCCATTCTCTGTACTTTCCATCCTTCTTGGACTGCAATTACATCCATATTAGATCTTCAATGTCTTCTACTTTTCATCCTCCTCTTGTTGATGATGCTTCTTTCTGGATATTTTCTTAATTTTCTTCTAGCTCATTAATTCTCATTTCATGCTATGCCAAATCTGTTCTTAAGCCCTTCTACTGAGTTAATTTCAGATACCGTAATTTTCAGGGTTTTCTTTCTTTCTTTCTTTTTTAAAGATAGGGTCTCATCCTTTCACTTAGGCTGGAGTGCGGTGGCACTATCACTGCAGCCTTGAACTCCTGGGCTCAAGCAATCCCAGGAGCTCAGGTGGGAGCACCTCAGTCTCTCAAGTAGCTAGGAATACAAGCACATACCACTGTGCCCAGCAAATGTTTTGTTGGGATGGGGTCTCACTATGTTCACATTGTCTAATCTCCTAACAAACCTGGTTATTTCTAATTCTGTGAATATCGTTTTTCCAAAATTCATTATTGACTAAGTTGGAGGCCTAGATGTCTTCTTTGTCTTTCTGGTAAGGATTTACATTTGATTCTACCAGGAAACTTGAGGAGCCAGCGATATGACTTCACTTTAATCCAATTTTAAGTGCTGAGCTTTAGTCCCTGTGAGGAACTACTTACTAGCTAATTTATCTTTACTGTAATAGTGTAGACTTTCAGGGTACCAACTCAAGACAAGGAGACACATTGACCATGCATGATCCTTGCACTCCAGGCCGTGATTTCTCAGCTCTGTGAGCCTATTAAAATTACTCCTCATCTCTAGGCAAATACCTCAAGGGGAGTAAAAGGCCCCCGCCATCCTTAGCCCCAGCTCCAACCCAATCCTGTCCAATAATGCTTTACTATTTTATTAGCTCTAGCATTTCATATAGATAATTTCTGTATTTTGTGCAGGTTTTCTAGTCATTCTCACTGTTGGTCCAAATTATCCAGTCTGCCAGTATCAGGAGCCTAGACCATCATAAGCAATTATATTTTGTATCGATTTGAATCTTACTGTCTAAATCATCTGTTGCTGACCTGAATGATTGTTGAGATGAGATTTAAAAGTCAGCTTTGCTAGGAACTATAATGAATTGGAAAAGGCATGCCTCAAATGTTGTTGACATGAATGTATACAGACCCAGGGCTAGAAGAGCTTCCATTTTCTCAAAAAAGCCAAAAATCTAGATATTTAAAAAATGTAAAATCTCCCCATTTTACAATGCTGGCAACTAGTTCTATATATTTTTAAACAGGGTGTTGGCCACTGTTCTCAATTCAGGATGATTTTGCTCCATAGGATGTTGCCAATGTCTGGAGCCACATTTTGTTGTCACAACTGGGGAGGGTTAGAGGGTTGCTACTGGCAACTAGTTGGTAGAGGTCAAGGATGCTAACCACCATACAACACACAGATCAGTCCCCAACAATAAAGAATTACCTGGCCCAAAACGTCAGTAGTGTCAAAATTGATAAACCCTGGTATAGGCCAGCATACTGCTGGTTACACAAAACCTATTTGCAGACTGCCATTTGATGAGGGTTGGCAGCAGTCCTTTAGTCCTCTAAAGCTGCATATGAATCTATATACGTAACCAAAGATGCTGGTACCTATGCTCTTTATGCTCTAATAACTGACAGTCTCGACATGTCAGTTTGTCACATGTTTCACAGTACAGCTTCAACTGCTCCTTTTTATGAAAAGGACAAAACACCGGTCGCTGGCTGGTGACACCAACTGCCTCTGCAGAAACAATGGGAGACAGAGAGAAGAAAATGAACATAATTGAATAGTAAATAATTATTCGATTGCCCATTTGAATTCACATCTATTGATATAAACACTACAGCTTCACCTATACCATAACTTTCACTAAGAATTACAGATATTAAGATATCACATATTGTCAGCATTTCAGGAAAAAAAGCAAATAACCTTTTCATTTTCCAGGAAGAAATTAAAATTAATTCAGAAGTAAATGAAAGAACTAAGTGTGTAGTTAAAAATATGTTTTATTGCATTAAAAAGCCTTAAGAAGACAGCCCTGGTAAATGAGTATGAACCACCTGGATGTCTTCTATCCCAAATATGGGAGGAGATTTTTTGAAAATGCAATTTGGAAAATCCAGCAGGGCACAGTGGCCCATGCCTGTAGTCTCAGCTATTCAGGAAGCTGAGTTGAGAGGATCAGTTGCTTGAGCACCAAGAGTTTGAGTCCAGCCTGGGAACATTGTAAGACCTCATAGACAGAGACAGAGAGGCAGAGAAAGAGATGGAAAGAGAGGGAGGGAGAAAGAAAATATAATAAAAATGTCTAAAAGGAGTAGTCAAATAACCTACTTTTGTAAAAATCCTAACAGAGGATACCCATTAAACACAGAAATAATAATATTTTCATTATTACACTCTAGTTTTCCAGTGTGGGGATAAAACTGGAAAATGTTTATGTCATGTTAACTGAAAAAAATCAGAATATGAATAAATATGGTTAAATAGTAAACCTCAGTTATCTTACTAACAATTAAAAGCAAAATCCAAACATTTCAGAAATAATCTTACCTCCAGAGATTATTACTATTAATAACCTGGTGTGCATTCCTCTGGTTGTTTTTCTAAGTATGGAAGTACATATAGTATAGGGCAGTGTTACATTTTATAAAACAATAAATGGCAGTACATATATTGTCTTTTAAAGATTTTTTTTCTCACTTAACTCTACCTTAGATGCCTTTCTGTATTAGTATATATATCCACCTCATTTCTTATTTATTAACTGTATAGTATTTCACAAAATAGATAAACCACTATACCGCTTGCTAAGGATATTTGTAAGTTATTCATTTTTCAGTACTGCAAATAATGCTGAAATAAACATATGAAAATTATAAATCATTTAAATGTTTCCACAAGATAAATTCCTAGTGGTAGAATTGTTAAAGGGTAATTCATACAGAGAAAAGCTAAATAATTGTGCCAATTTGTACTCCAACCAGTGTAGAGTGGCTATTAACCATATTAACAGGGGGAACTCTCAAAATTTTTCATCTTTGACAATTTAATAAATGCAAGAGACAGAAAGAGAGAAAGAGAGAAGACACATACGTCACTATCCTAGAATGCATTTCTTTAATAACTGAAATGAAACAATGTTCAGTAATTAGCCATTTGCATTTCTTTTTTTTAATAATGTACAAATCAGTCCCCAGCAATAAAGAATTATCTAGCTCAAAATGTCAATAGTGTCAAAACTGACAAACTAGTATGCTGGCCTATACCAGGCATGGTGGCTCACATCTGTAATCCCAGCACTCTGGGAGCCCAAGGCGGGTGGATCACTTGAGGTCAGGAGTTCCAGACCAGCCTGGCCAACATGGTGAAACCCCATCTCTACTAAAAATACAAAAATTAGCCAGGCATGGTGGCACAGAGATTACATAATCCCAGGCACTTGGGAGGCCGAAGCAGGAGAATTGCTTGAACCCGGGAGGTGGAGCTTGCAGTGAACCGAGATCGCATCACTGCACTCCAGCCTGGGTCACGGAGTGAGATTCTGTCTCAAGAAACAAAACAAAACAAAACACATACGCAAAAACCCTAAGGTAACCTGAGAGGAATTACAGATAAAATTAATGAACTAAAACATATAAAACTGATAATTAGATAAATAAATTCAAGAAGTATTTTTGAAGATACAAATATGTAAACACGTAGAATTCAGAATGAAAATGAAAATAACCAGATAGAGAAAATCGGTAATATATTATATTAAAAGCACAACACATCAAGATGAAATATGGAATTAACTCCAGCAATGCAATTCTTTTTTTTTTTTTTGAGACAGGATCTCATACTGTCATGCAAGCGGAGTGTAATGGCAATGATCACAGGTCACTGCAGCCTCGAGCTCCTTGGTTCAAGCGGTCCTCCCACCATCTCATCTCCCAGGTTGTTGGGATTACAGGCATGTACTATCACGCCCAGCTAATTTTCTTTTTTTTTGTAGATAGGGTTTCGCCATGTTGCCAAGGCTGGTCTAGAACTTCTGGGCTCAGGCAATCATCCCACTTCGGCCTCCCAAAGTGCTGGGATTATACCAAGTCTTTCACTAGTCTCAAACAACAAACACTCAAAAAAAAGGTTTTGCTACATTTTGATACATGCTATTACATGGATGAATCCTTAAAATATTACGCTAAGTAAAATAAGTTAGATATCAAAGAACAAATACCATGTGATTCCACTTGTGTGAAATATCCAGAATCAGCAAATTTATAGAGACAGAAAATAAAGGCTGGGTGTAGTGGCTCATGTTTGTAATCCCAGTAGTTTGGGAGGCCAAGGCTGGCGGATCACTTGAGGTCAGGAGCTCGAGACCAGCCTGGCCAACATGGTAAAACCCTGTGTCTACTACAAATACAAAAATTAGCCACGCATGGTGGCGCACACCTGTAATCCCAGTTACAGGCAGGAGAATAGCATGAACCCAGGTAGCAGAGGTTGCAGTGAACTGAGATCACGCCACTGCACTACAGCTAGCCTGCGTGACAAAGCAAGACTCAGTCTCACAAAAAAGAAAATAGGTTTGAAGTTACCAGGAGCTAGGGGAAGAAAAACGGAGTTATTATTACTTTTTTTTTCTTTTGAGACGGAGTCTCGCTCTGTCACCCAGGCTGGAGTGCAGTGGCGCGATCTGACTGCAAGCTCCGCCTCCCAGGTTCATGCCATTCTCCAGCCTCAGCCTCCCGAGTAGCTGGGACTACAAGCGCCCACCACCATGGCTGGCTAATTTTTTGTACGTTTTTAGTAGAGATGGGGTTTCACCGTGTTAGCTAGGATGGTCTCGATCTCCTGATCTCGTGATCCACCCGCCTCAGCCTCCCAAAGTGCTGGGATTACAGGCATGAGCCACTGCGTCCAGCCAGAAAATTGGAGTTATTACTTAAAGGTACAAAGATGCTGATTGGGGTGATAAACAAGTTTTGAAAATAGTAGTGATGCTTGCACAACGCGTAAATGTAATAAATGCCACTGAATTGTACATTTAATAGTTAAAATGACAAATTTTATGTTGCATGTATTTTACCAAATAAAAAACATATGAGTGAACTGTACATTAAAAACAAGACAATAAAACCAGAAATAATAATTACATAAAAAAGCCTCTCTGGCTATCCACATATCAGACAAATAATCATGATGCAGGTTTGCAACAAGAATATCAAAAGAAAAAGAGTTATAAAATATTTAAGCCCACTCTTTGTTGTTACCTTAGAGATAAAAGAAAAATAAGAAAAAGCAATTTTTTTCTCCATTTGTTCTATATTCACACCAGTTGAAGACATTTATAGAAGCAGGAGGACATGCAGTATGAATGTAAAACAGGGTTCTACATCTATTCACATTTTCCAACATTTTTAAGTATTTAAATTTCAATTATAATATAAACCTCTTTTACTTAAGAGTATATATTTAATACTTATCAAAATAAAAGTGTCAAAACAAGTCAATACAGGAAGGAAGAAAAGACGGGGAAAGATAGAAGAAAAAAAAAGAAAATAACTCATGTATTACCTGGAGATACTTCCTCTTTCTGTCTGACAGTATGGTCTTTTGTGAACTTTACCCTCTGATGAGCTCTGATACACGTCTTGCAGAGCCATTCAACACACTCTACACAAAACCCATTAGCTTCTGCGTTGTCCTCACAGCTTGTACACACCTGACAATAAAAGAACCATGGCACATGAATTTTTGAGAAAATGAAAAGCTGGTCCTATCACGAGCTATATATACATGATACACCAACCATATCAGGCTAAATCAGTTAGCCTCCTAATGGTGTTGGGAAATTTTAAACTGACATAGTGTGTTACATTATACACATATGAAATGAAAATACTGTGCAGAGACAAGAATATAAGTACATTTTCTCCTTAATTCAGCATCCCAAATATTTCAACTAGGTATTTCCCAAACATTATGCTAGGTGTGAGAACAGAACAGTCAGGAAAAGCAAACACGGTCCCTGCCCATATGATAACTACAGTCTTATAAATATTGCAGGTTCAAATCCCAGTTCCCTCACTTACTAGCTCAGTGGTCTTGGGCAGGTTACATAGAATACTCATCTTTAATATGAGGGTAATGATACAGATATTACTGAGTAGTTGTGAAGATTAAATGTGAGGCAGATGCACATTATTAGAATAAGCATATCAATATATAACTACAAACTGATAATTACCATAAAGGAAATATACGGAAAGTTGTAAGAACGTATGATGAAGAAATGGATCTCATTTTAGTGGGGTTGGAAGGCTAGGGAAAGCATGAAGAGGGGTTACCCAGTGAAGGCTTTTACTTCTAGGAAGAGAGAACAGCATGTAGAAAAAGTCCCAGGCAAGAAGAGCAAGCAGGTTCAAAGAACTGAACGAAGGCAAGTATGACTGAAGTGGTACGACTGAGGGGAAGACTGGCAAGAGAAGCTAGGACAAGAGACAGGGGCCAGATTAAGTGGAGTCACAAGACAATTTTGGTGTTTGTCCAAATAAGTCTATTAAAAGCTTTTAAGAAAGTGACATGGCCAGATTTGAATTTTTATGTCACAATGGCTACAATATAGAGAACAAATTACAAAAGGAGCAAAAGCGTTTCTGTATAATGACAAGCTAGGAGGATTTTTCAGTGGCTTTGGTGAGGGTTGCTGGAAGTGGGATGTGGAGATGAGAACAGGTTTGACAGCAAAAATTTTTTCCACTTCACTCAGTGGTTGACACTAACCAAATTCCAAATACCTGATAGGTCCATAAACCAAAATCTACCTTTTCTCTGGTCTTATCATCTTCAATCTTTCTAACATCACTTGATACCACTGACTCCTGCTTCCTAGAAATCATGTGAATTCCTTAATACCTGCCAATCCTCCTATCAGATAGCCTGACTGTCACTGGATCCCACCCTTCTTCCTCTGATTCTGTAGTTTTTTATTATAGGGATTGATCTCATCTACTTCCTTAGCCTCACATAGCATCTCTAAAAGGATGTAATCTAAAATTTAATCTCCACAGTAAGCTATAAAAAGAAATAAGTAATTTCTATTTACACCACTCAGGAGAGATTACTAGTACATAAAGTAAAATAAAACAGGAAAAGCATGTGTGTGTAATGCTACTGCTTATTCAAGAAAGATGGTAATATGGTTTGGATCTGTGTGCCTGCCCAAATCTCATGCTGAACTGTAATCCCCAATGCTGGAGGTGGGGCCTGCTGGGAGGTGCGTGGATCACAGGAGTGATTTACCCCTTGGGTGCTGTTCTCATGATAGTGATTGAATTCTCACGAGATCTAGTTAAGTGTGTGGTGCCTCCCCACTCTCTCTTTTTCGCTCCTGCTCCATCCATGTGGATGAGCCTGCTCTCTTCACCTTCTGCCATGATTGTAAGCTGAGCAGATGCATAATGCTTCCTGTACAGCCTGCAGAACCATGGGCCAATTAAACCTCTTTTCTTTATAAGTTACCCAGTCTCAGATATTTCTTTATAGCAAAGTGAGACTGAGGAGTGGGCCACTGCTATAAAGATACCTTAAAATGTAGAAGCAGCTTTGGAACTGCGTAAGGGGCAGAATTTCAAACAGCTTGGAGGGCACAGAAAAAGGCAGGAAGGTGACAAAAATTTTGTCCTGGAGATTTGTTAAATTGTTGTGACCAAAATGCTGATAGTAATATGGACAATGAAGTCCAGGTTGAGGAGGTCACAGATGGAAATAAACTTATTGGGAAATGCAGCAAAGGTCACTTTTGTTACACCTTGGCAAAGAGCTCGGTTGGACTGTGCCCCTGCTCTAGGGATCTGTGGAACTCTGAATTTGAGAGATGATTTAAGAGTATCTGGTGGATGAAATTTCTAAGCAGCAAAGTGTTCAAGATGTGATCTGGCTGCTTCTAACAACCTATGCTCATATGCATGAGCAAAGAAATGACCTGAAGTTGGAACTTATATATTTAAAAGGGAAGCAGAGTATAAATGTTTGGAAAATTTGCAGCTTGGCCATGTGGTAGAAAAGAAAAGCCCATTTTCGGGGGAAGAATTCAAGAAGGCTGCAGAAACTGGGGGTAGGGGGAAAGCCTTGAAGGCATTTCAGAGACATTCTGAGCAGCCACTCTTGTCACAGGCCCAGAGGCCTAGAAGGACTGAATGGTTCTGCAGGCCAGGCCAGGCTCAAGGGCTCACTCCCCTGAGAAGCCTCAGGACACTGCTCCCTGTATCCTAGCCTCTCCAGTTCCAGCCATGGCTCAAAGAGGCCCAGATATAGCTCAGGCCGTTGCTTCACAGGATGCAAGACATAAGCCTTGGCAGCTTCCACATGCTGTTAAGCCTACAGGTACACAGAATCCAAGAGGTGAGATTTGGGAACCTCTCTCTGCCTAGATTTCAGAAGATTTACAGAAAGGCCTGGATGTCCAAGCAGAAGCCTGCTGCAGGGGCAGAGCCTTCACAGAGAACCTCTACGTGGGCAGTGCAGAGGAGAAATGTGGGGCTGGAGCACCCACACAGAGTCCCCACTGGGGTCCTCCCAAGTGGAGCTGTGAGAAGAGTGCCACTGTCCTCCAGAACCCAGGAGGGCAGATCCACCAGCAGCTTGCACCTTCAGTCTGGAAAAGTCACAGATACTCAGTGTCAACCCATGAGAGCAGCCTGTGAGAACAGCTGTGGGGGCTGAACCCTGCAAAGCCACAGGTGTTAAGTACAGCTGCCCAAGGCTTTGGGAGCCCACCCCTTGTACCAGTGTGTCCTGGATGAGAGATGTGAAGTCAAAGGAGATTATTTTGGAGCCTTAAGATTTAATGAACGCGCTGCTGGGTTTTGGACTTGCACAAAGCCTGCAGCCCCTTTCTTTTGGCTGATTTCTCCATTTTGGAATGGGAGTATTTACCCAATGCCTGTACCCACAATGTATCTTGCAAGTAACGTAACATGTTTTTGACTTTACAGGCTCACAGGGAGAAAAGACTTGCCTTGTCTTCTCATCTCAAATATGAGACTTAGGACTTTTTGAGTTAATGCTGAAATGGTTAAGACTCTGGGTGACTGTTGGGAGGCATGATTGTGTTTTGAAATGTGAGGACATAAGATTTGGGAGGGGCTGGGGTAGAATGATATGGTTTAGATCTGTGTCCCTGACCAAATTTCATGTAGAATTGTAATCCCCAATGTTGGAGGTCAGACCTGATGGGAAGTGACTGTATCATGGGGGTGGATATCCCCCTTGGTGCTGTTCTCATGGTAGTGAGTTCACATGGAGATGTGTTCATTTAAAAGTGTGTGGCATGGCCGGGCGCGGTGGTTCACACCTGTAATACCAGCACTTTGGGAGGCTGAGGCAGGCCGATCACCTGAGGTCAGGAGTTCGAGACCAGCTTGGCTAACATGGTGAAACACCGTTTTTACTAAAAATACAAAAAATTAGCTGGGCATGGTGGCGCACACCTGTAATCCCAGCTACTTGGGAGGCTGAGGCAGCAGAATTGCTTGAACCTGGGAGGTGGAGGTTGCAGTGAGCTGAGATTGGCCATTGCACTCCTGCTTGGACAACAAGACCGAAACTCCATCTGGGGAGAGGAGGGGAGGGGAGGGGAGGGGAGGGGAGGGGAGGAAGGAAAGAAGGAAGGAAGGAAGGAAGGAAGGAAGGAAGGAAGGAAGGAAGGGAGGGAGGGAGGGAGGGTGTGGCACCTCCCACCCTCTTTTGGCTCCTGCTTTGGCCACATGTAAGACAAGCGTGCTGCCCCTTCGCCTTCCACCATGATTGTAAGTTTCCTGAGGCTTCCCCAGAAGCTTAGCAGATGCCAGCATCATGCTTCCTGTACAGCCAGTGAAACCGTGAGCCAATTAAACCTCTTTTCTTTATAAATTACCCAGTCTCAGGTATTTCTTTATAGCAATGCAAAAACAGACTAATACAGATGGGATGGAATGGGATAGCTTACTTTTAAATTGTATATTAACATAATATTTAAAAAGGAAGGATAATCCATAAAAGAGATTAAATAGTTACCTACGAGGTTGGGAAGAAATAAGGTAGATGGGTAGACAAGACAGGGATAGAAGTTTATAGATTTTCTTTTCAAACGACATGAATGTTTTATATGTAGTTATGCAATATTTTAAACATTTAAATTCCTAAATGTCAAAAGCAAAATTTAATAAATGAACCTGCCTAATCAAGTGGGTGGCTTAACTGCACAGAGAAGATTTATTTATTTCAGGTAACTTTAAAACATGATTTGGCTGGCTGGGCACAGTGGCTAACACCTGTAATCCTAGCACTTTGGGAGGCCACGGCAGGTGGAATGCCGGATGTGGCAGTGTGCGCCTGTAGTCCCAGCTACTCTGGAGGGCTGATGCAGGAGAATTGCTTGAACCCAGGAGGTGGAGGTTGCAGAGAGCCAAGATCATGCCACTGCATTCCAGCCTGGGCAACAGAGTGAAACTCCTTCTCTTAAAAAAAAAACAAAACAACAACAACAACAACAACAACAACAACACATGATTTGATTGAATATCTCCAGTGCATACATATAACTACTGTCTTCCTTGCTTTCTGTTTTGATACAAACACTCTACAACTTCTATTTTCAGCTCCAACTCCACTCTACTATAAACTCTTATTCAGAAAGCAACATTTATGCTTTACAAGCTGGTTTCACATTCGAGTCTAACA